GCTATGATTTGAAAACCAGAAAGAAAGGGGAGTAAATTTGAGTACCCACAGTTGCAAATTAGCCGGTAATAATCAGTTTTCAGCAGACAAAACACTGGAGTTAAACTGGACAGAATCAAACAAAGCAAGTTCAAATGCAGCAAAAGTTTACTGGGCTTCTCAGAAAACACATTTGCTGCAAACGAATTAACCGCCATTCGAAAATATACCGCATAGGCAAATAACTATTTTGCATTAGAACAAAACTTCCAATTCCCAACAGACAATAAGCAGCAAAAATATTTACTCACCAGAACTGGTCAAACAGGGGCAGTGGACTGCAAAAGTCAGGAATTTGGATAAAAGCTTGAAAAAACATGAAATCGTGAGCTTACCTCCCACTGCGAAATAAGCTTTCGTGTTGGTGTAGCAATCTTCGAACTTTCTGACTGAGCCAAGGATGGTGGGAACTGAAAAAATATACATTACAGATATTTTGACAATCTCTAAAAATGACATCCAACTATGATGCGGGTGCAGCAACAGACCAGCGGCGCCGAGATGCGTATCAGTAATGAAAATCCTTCGATTAACACGACTCTGACATCAAAAATGAGACTATTGAAAAGAAATTTTGCTTGAAAATTGAAATGAGAAATACCGCTCGTCCAGCGACTTTAGCAACGGTCTCGGCGAGTTCCTGGCCTCGCATGCTGCCATATCTCTTCGCTCGATCCATCGTTACTCCAAGGCTATTTTTTCGAACCTGCAAAGAGCGGGAAATAAAATGGCTAATTTGTGGGTGATCTTTTTTAGTGCCAACAGGATTTTTCATAAATGCTTCCTTGCGAACGATTTAGTGAGTTACACGGGACCTCAAAACGGTCCAGCGAGTAACAGACGGCCCACAGATCAGTGAGTTATGGGAACTCCAAAGTGTACGGCCCGATCCATCAGAATGAGTAACAGTACAAGTAGGCACATCAGCGACTTATAGTATTATAAGTTCTGAGAATAAATTTTACAGCTGAAAACGCCTATAAAAAAAAACAAATAAAATTTCGGATTTTTTGAGGAACTCACATCTGCATTGCTATTCGACAGCCTTTGCGTTGTTCGTTCAAAAGTTGTTATCAACGGAGTCTCATCTGCAAGACGCATCGTGGTAACAGTAGGAGAAGCAAGGGACAATGAAAAGGAATAATAATTTTAATCTTCCTTCTGTACCCAGCAAAGAGAATCAGATTTTATAAAAACTGTGACGTTAAACTGGAATAATGATAAAGCTCAGACTAAAAAATTCCACCAATTTGCTTGGGACCAGCTCCCAGCTGAATCTTTTTTTTCAATGAATAAAGTGCCGCTCCTACATACTTAACATACAAATCAGTGGCACAGCATAAAAAAGAAAAAAAAAAATCACGAAAATGCGCTATCTGAATCAGAAAAGTCGTGAAATCACGTAAGCGGCTAACGATTTTTCCGCCAGGGAACCTCAAAAAAGCGGGCTTATCATAACGCTGTGAATAATGCGCGAAATTAGCCACCGATGTGTTATTTAATAAGCTATATGCACGATGCAAAATACGATGGCGCAAAGCATACATTTCCTCTGATATTAGAAGCACGAAGGCGCGTACACACATGCATATATGTACAGGCATTCCGTAGTCCAATCCTAATTTTCT